TTTCCCTGGTGTGCATGGACTAAACAACTAGAGCAGATAATGGTCTCTTTAGGAAGGTTCCTCACCATGACTCAGGGTAAAGGAAGGTGTCAGTGCCTAGAGTTGGCAGCTCTGCACAATTAAAATACCAACAGGGATAATTAGGAGCAAATCTTTCCAGAAGACAACTTGGTGCTGCCAGACAAGGCCTGGAGGCTGCAGGACAGGAGCCATGTGCTGAAGGAAACACTCGCGAGAAGCAGAGAAAACAAAGCTCTTGGCTCTCACCACATTTCAAGCTAGTGCAGACACACTCAAGTGCCAAGTTCTGAAAGCTCATCAGCAACACTGATGAGGTTGGCACTGGTGAGGCCTCACTTCGACTTCTCTGTCCAGTTCTGGGCTCCTCAGGGCCAGAAGGACATGGAGCTCCTGGAGCAGATCCAAGGGAGGGCAAGGAAGATGCTGAAGGCACTGGAGCACCTCAGTGATGGGGAAAGGCTGAGGGAGTTGGGGCTGTTCAGCCTTGAGAAGAGACACTGAGAGGAACCTCATCGGTGTCAGTGTCTCCAGGAGGTGTCAGAGGATGGATCAGGGTCTGCTCTGTGTGTCCAGCAACAGGACAAGAGGCAATGGGCAGGAACTGATGCCCAGGAATCCACCTGAACACGAGGAAGAATTTGCTTCCTGTGCAGTGACCAAGCACTAAACAGATTACCCAGAGAGAGTGTAGAGCCTCCTCACTGGAGACATTCCAGACCCTTCTGGTCACACCCCTGAGCCATGTGCTCTGGTCTGGCCCTGCCTGAGCAGGGAGGTGGGACCAGATGAGCCACTTTGGGCCCTTCCAACCTCTCCCATCCTGTGCAAGGAATGCAAAGGGAGACAAACACAGGGAAGAGAGTAAAAAGGGATATTTTTCATTGTAAAAGAAGTCTGTGGTAATAAAGAATGAGAATTTACAGCCTCCTTTTAAACCAAGAAATTACCCTTTCATACTTTTCCTCTCAAAGGTTCCCTGCATTTTCAGCTCTCTCTAAGCTGCAATTAGCACCCAGACCTACCAACTTTTGGTGTGCATCACCCTCAGACTCTTTCAAACCAGACTCTATATGACAACAGAACAGGCTGGAGCACGTTCAAGTGCTTCTCTCTGATCTCAGAAGAAGCTCTGGGTATTCAAATGAGAGCAAGATGTGAGGCCAAAGGAGGTATTTGGCCAAAAGCTTTATGCAAATTGGAATGATAGG